ACCCTCGCCAGCAGTTCCCTGTCCTCCTTGAACTGGGGAGCCCAGAGCTGGATACAGTGCTCCAGACGGGGCCTCACTAGGGCAGAGTAGAGAGGGAGGATAACCTCCCTCGACCTGTTGGCCACACTCAGGGGGCTGGGTACTCGGGGAAGAACTGGCCTTGCTCTCAAAGACCATGGCAAAGTATCACTTTGCAGACTGAGGCAGGGTATCACTTGCCACTGCCTTTGGGCCAGGGCACCTTCCCGGCTCCTCGTCCACCAGATGTCCCGCAGGACCCCCGTGGCCTCCTCTGCCATGTTGACTTCCAGCAGTTTTGCCAAGCTGCTTTTTGTCATGAGTATCTGAAGATGTGTGCTGGGATGGTCTGTGCCCGTACCGGTGCCATACTCAGTTATTTCCCCCCTCTTAGAATCATAGAATGGTTTGGGTTGGAAGGGACCTTAAAGATCATCGAGTTCCAAGCCCCCTGCCATGGGCAGGGACACGTCCTACTAGAGCAGGTTGCTCAAAGCCCCATCCAGCCTGGCCTCGAACACTTCCAGGGATGGGGCATCCCCAGCTTCTCTGCGGAACCTGTTCCAGTGTCTCAGCACCCTCACAGGAAATAATTCCTTCCTAATATCTAATCTAAATCTAAAATCTAATCTAATTCTTTTCCAGTTTGAAGACGTTACCCCTCATCCCGTCACTACATGTCCTTGTCAGAAGCCCCTTCCCATCTCTCCTGTAGCCCCCCCCCTTCAGGTGCTGAAAGGCCACAAGTTCTCCCTTCAGTCCTCCTGAGCTTTCTCCAGGCTCAACAACCCCACCTCTCTCAGCCTGTCTCATAGGGGACTTACTCCATCTCTCTGTTCATCTCCATGGCCCTCCTTTGGACCCATTCCAAAAAGATCCATGTCCTTCTTATGTTGGTGGCTCCAGAGCTGGACACACTACTCCAGGTGGGGTCCCACCAGCACAGAGCAGAGGGGCAGAATCACCTCCCTGGACTGGCTCATTATGCTGCTTTTGATGCAGCCCAGCACGCAGCTGGCTTTCTGGGCTGTGAGCGCACACTTCCAGCCCATGTAGAGCTTTCCATCAACCAATGCCCCCAAGTCCTTCTCCTCAGGGCTGCTCTCAATCCATTCTCCCACCCAGCCTGGAGAAACCCATAAGCTGGACCTCCGGGCCAGCTCAGCACGTGCCCAGAAAGACCTGGGGTGGCAGGAACAGGTGGCTGAGCATACGTGTACATGGAGGGCGAACACAAAGGGTGCCGGGAAGATGGAAGCTGTGCCAGTTTACAGTCAAACCAGTGTCCTGTGAGAGAAGGAAGCAGTACAACGCTGTGTCTAGGTACTGTAGAGACGGGAGTACCCTAGTGCCAGGCGGGCAGAAAGGCAGGGTGTTGGGGACACCATACAGTTGAGGGACCGTAAAAACCACCTAACAGATACCCCTTCTCCCATCAGCCTGAAAAGCTCTTTGAAGAACGCGGTGTAGCTCTTCAGATGCAAATTACGCCTCATTCTGCAAATGTTAAGCTTATGAAATGGAGTAAATTACCTAACGATGTTTTATTTTATTTTATCCCTCGTTATCACTTAGCAGGACTACAGTGATCACAGAATCACATGGGGTTGGAAGGGACCTCCAGAGATCATCTAGTTCAACCGCCCTGCCAAAGCAGGTCCACCTAGAGCAGGCTGCACAGGAATGTGTCCAGGCAGGTTTTGAACATCTCCAGAGAAGTAAACTCCACCACCTCCCTGGGCAGCCTGTTCCAGGGCTCTGCCACCCTCACAGTAAAGAAGTTCCTCCTCATGTTTAGATGGAACTTCTTATGTTCAAGTTTGCGCCCATTTCCTCTTGTCCTGTCACTGGGCACCACTGAGAAAAGACATCCTCTGGACACCCTCCCTTTAAGTATTTATAGGCATTTACCAGATTCCCCTTGGCCTTCTCTTCTCCAGACTAAAAAGACCCAAGTTCCTCTGCCTCTCCTTGTAAGAGAGATGCTCCAGGCCCCTAATCATCTTCCTAGCCCTCTGCTGTACCCTCTCCAGCAGTTCCCTGTCCTTCTTGAACTGAGGAGCCCACAACTGGACACAGTACTCCAGATGGAGCCTCACCAGGGCAGAGTAGAAGGGCAGGATAACCTCTTTTGACCTGCTGGTCACACTCTTCTTGATGCACCCCAGGATGCCATTGGCCTTCTTGGCCACAAGGGCACATTGCTGGCTCATGGTCATCCTATTGTCCACCAGGACTCCTAGGTCTTTCGCCTCAGAGGAGCTCTCCAGCTGATCCTACATGCCTGTGCCTAAAGCTTCTGTATCGACCTCTCAACAGAACTGTAGCGTATCTCTTCAGCAATCCAGCCCACTTGCAGCTCATGAGATTTGTCTTCTAGTTTCTATACTAAGTGTCTCCTCATATTAAGATCTCAGCCCTTATCTAGCCAAGAGATGGGCCTGTACTGTCACATCACCATCACAGTCTGCACCTGCCTTCCTCTGCCGCGACAAGCTTCACAGAGCACACTTAGAATTTTCCAAAGATAGAGAGTTTAATTCTGTGGATGGGGAGACAAGCTGAAATCACCCCATACTTCACCACCTTCTGTTCCAAATCCAAAGAACTAAACGCGTGTTTACATGTTGCTGAAAATAACCCCCAAATAACTCCAAATTTCAGCAAGTGATTCTGTAATTAACGAACCACCAAGATATTCAACTTCACATCTACCTCCAGACCTTGGAGAAAGAATGAAAAGGAACATAACAAATATTAGTCATTGTGCTAAAGGCGCTACTAAGAGACTTGATGAAATTGTAATATAAAATAATATGTAAAGTTCTCTAGATAACAAAGTATGTAATAGTTACCTAAGTTATGAACAAAGAGATTGTTAAATCAGGTCCTTGCTATCACAGACAGATCTTACCAGTACGTACATTGCTAGTGTTTTGACAATCATGAGGTCATAAAAACACATACTACTTAAAAACATTTGCACACTTAATTAGATACTTTAAAAGGGAGAGGCCAGGATCAGACAGACCAGAAATGTATAAAGCTCATAAACACACACCATGTTCCATAATAATTACTCTTCTCCCCAAGTATCTTCTTAATTCTTTCATTTCCATTCTTTCATCAATGTTTATTGAAAATACTTCATTTTAAACTAGCAAGTGGTACTGCGTGACAAGTTACTTTTCACTGTTCTGTTGCAGTCTTACAATAGATCTACTGAGATTGCAGCATTACAATATAGAAAGAAAAGCTAAAAGCAAATTTAAAACTGGTTACTAGACAAAGAGTATTTGCTATTTTTAAAAGGTGAAACTGGTGATGCATCAGCGTTGCTTTAGGGCTCCAGCCACACCCCAAACTTACTTCACTACATTCAGCATGCAAAGATTATTGAACATTTTTCTAGCCATAGTTTTACAATAAATTACCATTTTTTCCAGTAAACTGAAGACATATTTTATCTACAGATATCATCCATGAACTGTATAGTTTATTTGCAGGTGTATGGGCTGATTCCACAAGCCAGCTGTAAAAAGTCATTCTGTGTACCCATCCTAGATTCAATACGGCATATGTGCTGCGTACACATGTACATGATTTATATACCGGAGACTGTAACAGAGAGCACCACCACAACCCTGACGCCAGTTAACAATAAGCCAAACCGAGCAAACAACTTGTTGTGCAAACCAGATGTTGATTTGAGCTGGCACTTCTGAGAGCCTTCCCAGGCGATTGTCATGCCAGCACCATTTCCTAAGCCATCGCTCACATAAGCACCTGCCCAGGGACCTGCAGCAGGAGGCGACTTTTTCCACCCGCTGCCTACAGACCCAGGCGATTCACTTTGAGAGGGACGATCCCTCCCCTCCCACTCCCGCCCGGCCTCACACACCCCCAGCCTCCGCAAGCTCCGCCCTCCCTCCTCCCCCGCCCCGGGGAGAACAGCGCGTGCTCCCTGCCCGGCAGCCAATAACAGCGAGGCTGCTGGCCCCGCCTCGCTCTGAGACGGCCCGGAGCCAATCAGAGAGCAGAGCGTTGTGTGGCGGAAGTCGGGCCTCGGCGGGGGCGCGGCGCCATGGCCGCCGGTTCCGTGGGGGTGCTGGCGCGAGCGTTGGAGGCGCTGGGTGAGGGGACCGGGAGGGGACCCCGGTGTGGGGCTGAGGGGAGCCGGGCCTGCCCAGGCCCGAGGGACGGGGTGTAGGGTGGAGCGCTCCCCCCTCCTGAGGGCTTAGCCGGGGGCCGTCCCGCGGAAACGCCTCACCCAGGGCCCGGGCCCTGCCGTTCCAGCGGGCGGAGGCTTGTGCTGGGCCAGCGGGGCTTCGGCGCAGGGAGGGGGAGCGGAGGGGGCTGGATGAGGCAGCGTGGCCGTAGGGAGAGCAGCGGTCCTGTGTTGCTAGAGCAGGAGAGCGGCTCTGGGCACGGCCAGCTTCCCGCTAAGCTGAGGGACTCCGTGCGGATGCTGCTCCGTGGGGTCGGGGGAGTCGTTCAGGGCTGTCAAACCGTGCAGTTGTGTAGGCTTTGGCTCGGTTTCGAGGCCTTATGGGGTTCCTCGTATTAGATTTCAGTTGGGACGCTGAGCAGGTCACACTAATGCAATTCATAGAATCATAGAATGGTTTGAGTTGGAAGGGACCTCAAAGATCATGGAGTCCCAACCCCCCTGCCACGGGCAGGGGCACCTCCCACTAGAGCAGGTTGCTCAAAGCCCCATCCAGCCTGGCCTTGAACACCTCCAGGGATGGGGCATCCACAACTTCCCTGGGCAACCTGTTCCAGTGTCTCACCACCCTCACAGTAATGAATTTCTTCCTAATATCTAATTCAGTACAAACTCCCTTAAAGAAAGCTTTACCTTTAATGTAAATGTGTGGATGATGACCCAGGAATTCTTCAGAGAGAGATTAGATTTATTGTGGTAACACTTTAAGGATTTGCTTCTGATTGCAACTGCTTGTGTTTTTCAGATGTTGGTGGTGCAGCTGATAAGATTAATTCAATACCTCAAGACTTTTTTGCAGAACTGGTAAGGATGGCAATAAATTGGCTGTGAATGGCTTCTGGAACGCTTTGATTCTGGGAAACTTTTTTGTTTAAGCTCTTCTGGTTTTTGTCTGTACATACGTGGTAGCTTAGATTTACGTGATGCATAAAATGGACCAGTCCTGCTAAGAGCAATGAGATTGCATTAAATTTATGTTTTTGTCACGGAAGACTTGAAAAGACATGGTTTTGCCTTTCATACAAATAAGATATAGAGCTAGCTTGCTAGAAAACATTCAGCTTGTTTACTGTAGTGTGAACTTGAACAGAATGACTGTTCAGTTAGTATGAAAATGGTGTATTAAGTAGGAATAGCCAGTGAGGTAGTAACTAACAGCCTTCACTGAGTTTATTTGCTTTTCTTGGATTTGATGTAACTTTACAATGAGTCATTTCAATGGCTTTATTCTTCTCTCTGCATTTGAAGCATCCTCCTGTTGTGTGTTTTTGCATTAACCAGTTTTCTTTTTTGTTTTGTAATCTCCAAGTATGCAAACTAGCTTTATATTGTGTATTAAAATATGCATTAAGAATGTTTTCAAGCTTACTTTCTTCACAGTGTGAACAAATAATTCAGCATCTGAACCATAAGATCCCAGGTGTAAACACAACTGAACTGTGTCAGGTATGTTTGGATTCTATCACTTATAAGCAAATATATTAGTTGTATATTCTGTAAAGGATAGATTTCTCAAGTCATTTTTTGGGTGTGTGTATATGTATACACAAAGAGGTTTTTATTAATGTATAATTTATTATAATTTGTAATTGTTTGAACATTTTGTTTCTAGAGAATTCAAACAGCTGGAATTGAGATTAATATTGGTGACCTGGCAAGAATAGCTAACATTATTTCCTTTCTGTTTAGGTAAGCACAAAATAATGTGTTTTGTCTTGTGCCTTTTTTCCCCTTCACCCCAAATTAATAGGGGTGTCAAAAAGTGACATCAAATGTGGGTATAAAACTGATATGGGTAAGTTTTTAACTCCCAGTATGCAAAAAATAACTGGGCTTAGTTTATGTTCTTAAAAAAATGTGTAGTTATTATATGTAGTGTTGTTTTTTGTAATAAAAAAAGAAAACTAAAGAGAGGAAATTGTTGTAAGATCTTTTCTGCAAGCATTAGGACTATTGGTAAAGTAAAAGAGGAAGTTAAGCTCAGTTCTAGAGCTAAGTCAGCTAGACCTTTGACTGGAAGAAGTGTGTTCTAAAAACTTTTTTTTCCTTAGAGATTAGAAATCAGCATATGTTCCTGTTTGACAGGCACACAGTTTTATAATGTTGAACTCTACTGTGATAAAGGTAGAGGTTTTAGGTAGTATTTTCAGCTGTTGTTTTGCTGTATGTTTTTCTATTTTCAGAAAGATAAAATTTTCTAGATCTTGTTCTTTTAATATCTAGTATCTAAACATTTTATGTGACGTTAATATGACTGAAGAAAATGTGTCAGTAGAAAATTTAACATACTACACTTTCCTCTATAAAATACAAAGCCTTAAATTCTATGAGACCATACTACTTGTATGACCAACTCTTTCTCTTTTACTAATGTCTCTTTAAGAGGAACAGATCTGCATGAACAAACCTAGGGTGCAAGATTTTTTTCACTTGTTTCTGTTGAGGAAATTGAGTTGCAATTTACCTCTAGACTTGCTGCCTTTTCTGTTGAGCATTTATTGCATCATTTGACTCCTGTTAGTACCAATTATACCATTACCTGGAGGTCCTTACTTGCCTTTTGGTGATACTTAAATTACCTCTCCTAAATGTTTAATTGAACTGCCTTGTTTCTAAAGTAATAATGTTGTTTAACTGCTCTATGCACACATCTTTCTCTGAATTATGTCTTTTTTTCAATTGCAACAGCACTTGGAGGCTGTGATTATTTTTGTTTTGATGTTGTGTGTTGTGCAAGCCAGGCAAAGTTTGGTGTCTGCATGTTAAGATACATTAGAAGTCAAATCATGTTGGTTTTTGCATGTGGATACCAAAGATTAGTAAAATATTCTTAAAAAAAAAATAAATCGCAGGCTGCCTAATTTTTGTAAAGTGCATAGACACATAAAGCAGAAATTAAAAATTGCCTGTTTGGGGTGAAGTGAGAAATTTTATTAAATTTGTGGAGAATGAAATTGATGTCATGTTATTTGGATATACCTATAGCACAGCAGCCAGAAACAATCTCTCTACGGAAGAACTCGTCGCCACCTTGGACAATGCAGTCAGCGCGCTGCCAAAACACGCAGTTCAAGTTATTCGTCACGTGTGGAATGAGCAGGGCAAATCCATTAGTGTGTCAGAAGATGCAAGAAATATGGCCGCAATGGGACAGGTAACTAAATGACAAGGTGCAGTTAACCATTAACTTTTCAGAAATGTCAGTGCTTCATAGTGTATTTTGTATTGTCAAGCATGTGGTGGTATCTTCACTGCCTAAAGCTTTCATATATATGTATATGTTGCCAAATATCTACCCAGATAAAGAAGCATATGCAGTAAAGGCTGTCTAAATACTGAATGGTATTCTGATGTTATTGTTTGGATGGTAAATGCACATCTCATACCTTTTAATAAATTAGTGCTTTATAGTACTGCTAGCGAAGGTGAGTAGTGGCCAGTGTGGCAGACAATTGTATGAGCTGTTTTAATAAATCCATTTGAAATGTGAGTAATTCCTTAGAGGTGATAGCACCAGCACTTAATTGTTTTATTCTTTGTCTCCCCTAAGTTTAAACTTTTTTTAAAGATACTTTCTGTCAATTTCCAGCATTGCTTTTTAAAAAAATAGCAGAGTGGATTTGCATTTCAGGATATTTTATTCTAGCAACAGTTTAAAAGAGTGTGGAATTAGGAAAAAAAATCTTTATCTGAGGCTTGATAGTGAGCTTCTAAGGGCTCTCTTCTCTTTATTCAACAATTCTGCCTATCATAAAAAGGCTACAAATGATAACTTGCCTATCTGAAATGTATGTGTGATGTACTTTGATTTATCCACAATACAGTTATGAAATGCCTTACTCTTTTGTGTTATTGTCATTACAAAATTTTTGAGAACTGTCTGAGGTTTTTATCACGTTTCCACTTGATTTAGAAACTTCTAAATAAACATGACAAAAGCATGAGTGATATACAAACCGGATGAACCCTGTGGCTCAAGCTCCTCTTGCTAGAACTTTTAAATAGACTGTATTTGACTATTGACTAAGGAAAACAGATTAAGTGAAGTAACTTATTCAAATGCTTATTTTTTTCACTATGAAATGGAAGGCAGATAATTTTGTATTCACAATCGTGTCTAAATGGGTGTGTGTTTCCCGTTTGGATAGAAGCTCTAGGTGTCCTATATTGCCTGTAAAACATCCATCCAACAGAACAGCAATGGTAGGCTAGATCTTTCTTGAACAGTTTCAAATTATTTTCTTCTTTGCAGTTTGTAGATATGGAATGGAAACTGGGAGTTGCGATGAGCTCTGACACCTGCAGGTCTCTGAAGTATCCTTATGTTACAGTGACACTAAAAGTGGCAGACCCTTCAGGACAAATAACAGACAAATCTTTTGAAATGACGATCCCACAGTTCCAGGTCTGTAATCGGTGTTACTTGATTCAGTCTCTTAAAAACAACAGTGACATTGTTGTGAAGGAACAAATGTATACCTTGATGCATACATTTGAGTTTTTTATTTACTAATACAGTCACTCAAAGATGAAGCATTCAATAAATATTTAAAACGCTGAAGCTAAATACTTATTTCATAGCATTTAGTTCTACATCACTTAAATGAAAATGTGAATTGAGCAGTCGTTAATTGGTTCTCTTACAAGTGAACAACTGAAGATGTAAAAACTCTTGGGTCTTTCCTGTCAGCTGTCACTCTGCCTTATTAAAAATGGTTAGGATATTCTAAATCTGTGGAACTGTTCCCAGCTTCAAAATCGAAAACTTGGGTTAAGCCTAACATTTGGTAATAATTAGGAATGGAGGTCAGTCAGCTTTGTCACCACTAGCTTTTAATTGCTATGACTTCATCTGTCAACTTATGGAACTTATTTAATTTTATATAAATGTGTCACTTCTGTTGTCATTCCTGTTTAAAGGGTGAATACATCACTTAGAATATCATACAATCTTACAAATAAATAAATCCTCAGAGTTGGATTGGCAGGAATTTGAGAAGAATATTCTGATTCCTTAGGTGTTGTGAAATGTTGTATAAATTCTGGCTGAAACCTATTTAATAGTTTGCTGTTCAACTACTATTAGAAATGGATGCTATACTTGAGAAGCCTGGATTATTTCAGTTGGGAATAGAAATCTTTGTGTGAGAAGGCTTTTTGGTGTTTGTTTTGTTGTGGTGCAAGAGCTACTTTGTATTTTTCTTTCATAGCATTTCTCCTATTAATAAGCAAGCCCATGCAAATAAGGCATCAGCTGTGTAGGTTTAATAGTGAATGTGCCCAAAAGCCAACCAGCCCACAAAAAGAAAAGCAGAAACTCAAAAGTTGCAAATTGTAACTGGAAGAGAGAGGGAGTGTGAGAAACATGTGTTGTGTCTTTTGTCTATGTACTAGTTTGAACTACAGTTCGAGCTTTTCTTCAAGCAACTAAAATTTATCTTAACTCTTGCTTTTTAGAACTTCTTCAAGCAGTTCAAGGAAATGGCAGCTGTTCTTGAAACAGTTTGAAGAGAACTTATTTACACTGAAACTTTGGACAGACTTAGATAAGTAAACTTTCCCTTCTGCACGGGGGATAAAGTGCCATTGTGCAGCGAGGTATGTATCCGTGTCTTTGACAGGTATTTGTCAGCATCATCCTTGCGTTGCTGTGAAGATGTCTTCGGTTTTGAGTACTTGAAGCCAAGTCTTCAGTGTTTGGGAAAATGCATTCAACTTTTCTTCATCCTGGTAGACAAAAAGATCAGGATGTGTATGGAGAAACATCACTGTAGACTTTCTAATATCCAAGAGTAAGAAACTACGCATACGAAACTACACATTTATCTCTGGAGTGTGGAAAGACACATGAAAACGTTGACTGGGAAGATACAGAGAGAAGTGTAAATCCCATGGTAGTGCTTTTGTCCATAAAATTCAGGTGCACTTAGACTCAACGATAATATTAAATGTAAGGAGTACATACATAAGAAGCATACAGTTATTGAGGAATAGCAATGTCAAGTTGTTAGTTGCAGGTACTTGCGGTTCTGACTTTCAGCTTTCTTTTAATAACTGAAGAATGTACTTGTCCCAACAGCTTCTTAATTTCAAATGCTTATTTCCCACTACCTGGGTTTATAAAACTGAATTAATGCATTAAACTTTTCTGGAGACCTAAAATTTATTCTCTGAAATGAAGCCCAAGGGCTAATTTTAAATAAAGATAGAAAGGTGAATTTAATTCAAAAGCATTTTAATTTATTTTTGTCTTTGCATTTAATCCAACTCTAATCTGTGGCACTCTGCTTGATGTTTTGATCAGCAGTCTGCTTTCTGATTAAATTAGAATATTGATGTAGGTGCCTCACTCCAAACTCTGAACAAGAAAAGTCAAGAGGAAACTTGAAAATTCAGGCTGGACTTTTAGCCCAGCACATCAGAGAAAGAACCACACTACAAGTCAACAGGATTTCTTTGCTGCTTGTGTTTTGTGGCAAGAGTCCACTGTACTGTAGTGCACATGCTTGCTCTCAGAGAATGTCCTAACCAGCAGAATTTTGACTTTGACTCCCATTTGGAATGGGGGATTTCCAAAGGGAGAGTGATAAATCCGGTGTGCTTGCGTGCGCTCTTTTTTTTCTATGTTGTTTTTTCTTGTTTTCCATAAACAAAACACAAACTGCAAACCTAGTAGGATGTAATAAAAACAACACTGTGGCATTTCAACATGTGGTGGTGATGTAGTAGAGCAAGTAAATCTGAAGAGAGACAATTCATGCTGATGGGCAGACTGAAGCTCATGCCGCAGCTTCAGAGTGGTCTATACTGAGAACTGGTTTTGCTGGGGCAGATTCTCAAGTGACTTCAAGCTGCCGTAAATGAGAGCATCTACCTTTCTAACCCACTTAGATGTTTTTAACTTTTTTAGAAGCTGGCTGAAAGTCATTGATAGAGGTTATGCCTGCATATTTGTGTCATGGAGAATAAGCTGCAACACATTGTGTGTGCTGCACACTGCAGTCCTTTCAATCAAGAGAGCTAAACCCTCACTATTTGGGTATTATGCATGGTGCATAAGAACAGTATTTGGAGTTGCTTAGAAGCCCAAGTAAGTGAAACAGGGTTGGCTTTAACAAAAGATACTACAAATTTTGGGCTGTGGCTATTGATTTGGGTGATATTTCCTTTGTGCTACACTGAGGTGTTTAGCTTTGCAGCTGGGCAGAGCAGATTGCTTTTTTCCAGGACCATCTCAATGGTGGCAAAATGGTCTTGGGAACAGATTTCCCATTTGCCTATTCCCGTGTCTGCCTCCAAGGGTTTGGGGCTGAACATAGTGCAAAAAAATCCTGTCTGTGTGTGGAAAAGTGATACGAGCAGCTGATTATTTTTCTTTTTAATTTGCAGAAGTTGGAGTGTAAGGCTGCTGTAACTGGAAAACTCTGTTATTCTTTGGCCTAGTGAATCAATTGGTTTACATCAATGCAAGAGTTCCAGAAAAAGAATACTATTTAGTAAAACCAGAGCCTAACAAATATTTCTCATTTTGTTCTAATGCACTTAAGTTCTTCATGTAGCTGGAAATACTTGTGCCTTCATTGTAACTGGATGGAAAAGATTTAATTAATCAGGTCTTCTAGAAACAACAATTTAGTAGATGCTGGAAGGTAATGAGGAAACTTTAAGTTACCGTTCTTGCTTGGTCCGTGAGGAAGAGGAGAAAGTTGGCAGCCTTTGAAAAGTCTTACATTTTGTCAGGTCAAATATTCTAGAAATACTAGTGAATGCTTCTGAAATGTCCCTGAACTCCAGCATGTTGTAACTCTGCCTGGAAGATGCCTGGACACGTGTGCTATACCAGCACAACTGTCTGAGAATTTTCAGAGGTGTTTTTGGACATCCAGGAGATGTGATTAAAAGTTGGCTATGTACTCAAACTTCTGAGATTTGTCCTGATCGCTATCGGTAGGAATTCCTATACTGAGTAATGGAAGAATTAAAGACTTCATTAAAAAAAAAAAAACCCTAACTAAAACCCTAACAGTTTTCAGGGTAGCAATATTAACATGTTCAAACAAGCTGTTGAATTGTTAGTCTGTATGTGCAGGAACCAAATCTCTTCAAAGAGAGTCAGGAGTCCTTGTGTGTTCCTAATTCTACTTGTTGACTGATATGAAATTGTATAACGACTATTTTTGTAAGTCCACAGTCATTAAACCTATAGGTAACAAAGGTAATGATGGTCTGTATTTTGTTTTAAGCCTACTGTGTGAAAGTCTGTCTCATAATGGTTAAAGTTCAGGACTAGACTATGACTAAACTTCTTTCCTTATTAAATTAGGATGAAGTTCAGACGAATGTGGTCTTTTTCTGTGATGGGGTACCCAGGAGCTGAGGGATAACTGCAGGCTGCAAGGAATATTTTTATCAATTACTTACAGCTAGACAAAATGCTGTATTGAACCAGGAAAAGACAGAAGACATATGAGACTAATGAAATCTTGCAGGAAATTGCATTCAAGTGGTTCTCTTTCCTTAACTATTTAGAAGACAAGTAAACAATTTTTCTTTTCAACATTTGCCTGGAACAGAGCAAGAGGAAGGAAAAGAGGAAAAAAGAGTCTCGCACAGTAAACAAACCCAAGGGAGGCAATAATGAAAGAGTCTGCTGGCAATAACTGTAGTCTTCATCACATGACCTTTGTTCTTTTTCCACTAGTTTCCAACAGACTAGCTATTTCATAGAAAAATGGAGAAAGGCCTGCAGAAAGAGTGCACAAATGGCTGTAGTCATTTCTGTACACTGTTTTATACATCTAGCTTCTGCACACTTTGGCTGAATCATGGCTGAAGTAAAAAGCCTGTCTATGTTAGCTTATTGTTTCTGCTTCCTCAAAATTGTACTGCCTTTCTTCAACCCCACTTGAAAGGTATGTAACAATGTTCTACTGGACTCTGCCTATCCCCTTTTATTTTTTTTTACCTTCTTACTTTTGAGCCTTTGCACTCTGTTTGAACACCTGAAGATACATTACTTGGACCGATTGAAAACAGAGAAATAATAAATTTGAGGGAGAATGTTTCCTTTTCCTTCTTTCCTATCATATTTGAGTGTTTTATTACCCTTTTAACTGAGTGCATAATGAAAAGGTAATTTCCAGTCCTTTGCAGAGGCATGCAGTGTTCTTCTGTTGAGTCTTCATGGGTACTAGAATAACATACAAAGGAGCTTAAGTCATTTAATCTACCTGCAGCGAAAAATGCCCCATTTTTGAAGAACCTTTGCAAGGAGGGGAGGGACTTAAAATGCAACAGCCTCAATCTTACCCAGTAGCCTGTGGTTGCCTTGACCTGGGTTGAGCTTACATGGTGTGCTGCTGTAGTGTCCTCCCTTCCTCAGGCTCCATTGCCTCCTAAACAGCTGGGTTTGCTCATCACCCTCTGCATTTGGCTAAATGTTTCCTTTCCTTGTGCTTCTGCTCTACAGCACTGTCCATACTCATCTGGTTGCACTCAGGGTGCTTGAGCTGCTGATAAGGAAGCATTTGTGTTAGAGGGATGACATTGGGCGCTCCTCATACCCTGTCCTGCATGCTTTGAAAGACTTCCTAATGCTTGCTTCCATGCTTTTCTGAAGGATGGTGGAGAAAGGACCTGCTGTTTGTACTGGGATAAGTCTGTTAGTTATCCATGACTTTGTGTCATTGAGGAAGTAGGGAAGGACCCTGTTGTGCATGCTTTGAAAGACTTCCTGATGCTTGCTTCCATGCTTTTCTGAAGAACGGTGGAGAACCGACCTGCTGTTTGTACTGAGTCGCTGGGATAAGTCTGTTAGTTATCTATGACTTTGTGTCATTGAGGAAGTAGGGAAGCTGAGATGGTTATATTTTCGGAGAAGGCTAATTTTAGTGTTTCTAGGTTTCCTCTCTCTGTGCTGCATTTTCCTCCTATGACTAATTATGGTGTAGCTGCTGTACCTGTGGCAACAATTTCTGTCCAATATGTGTAGGTGCCATAGTTTCCACATACTCTGTTAGTGTTTACATTGTAAATACTGTTATATATGTATATGTGTCAGTTTTTATACTTCACATATTGAGCTTTGGAACACTAAGCTTTAATATGCACATTAAAAAAAAAAAAAGAAGGGAAACTCTGTCACTTCATACAATAATTTTTGGTTCTATGTAGTATTTTAAGTGGAATTTGTCATAACATCGGTCACCAGGTGGCACTCCTGCATATAGGCTTGATGCTTGGTAATCCTTTGAGAGGGTGTCTGATAATAGGATAAGGACTTCTTATTTTCACCCTGGTATAGCTTATATCTGTAACGGTACACATTCATATCACCACAACTTCCATCCTACCTCTTACATTGTAGGGAAATAGTCAGCTTCTGTGTGAATTATTGAAAAGTGTAAAGATTTCCAGTGACAAAAGCAACATTCAGCGTTTTAATGATATCAGAATATACAGTGTATATTTGCAGTAGGTTAAAACAGTAATTTAATTATGCTAACACTTCTGCATTATGAATTGCTCTTTAAGTAGTGTCATGGTTCATTTCTATTGGGGCCTATTCTTATTTTACATTTTTTCCCCCTAGTTTATACATTGAATCATAGAATGGTTCAGGTTGGAAGGGACCTTAAAGATCATCGAGTTCCAACCCCCCTGCCATGGGCAGGGACACCCCCCACTAGAGCAGGTTGCTCAAAGCCCCATCCAGCCTGGCCTTGAACACTTCCAGGGATGGGGCATCCACAGCTTCTCTGCGGGACCTGTTCCAGTGCCTCACCACCCTCACAGGAAAGAATTTCTTCCTAATATCTAATCTAAATCTACTCTCCTCTAATTTGAAGCCATTACCCCTCATTCCATCACTACATGCCCTACTACAAAGTCCCTTCTTAATCTCTCCTGCAGGCCCCCTTCAGGTACTGGAAGGCTGCTGTAAGGTCTCCCTGGAGCCTTCTCTTCTCCAGGCTGAACAACCCCAACTCTCTCATTCTGTCTTCATAGGAGAGGTGCTCGACATCTCTCAAACAGATTTATTTAGATCTGTATCTTATTAATAGAATAAGCACTTGCATTTCTCTATGCCAGTGTTTATGCAGTTTAACCACTCTTGAATTCCTTTTTCTGTATTTTTTACGCAGCCTAGTTCTTGGTGTCATGCCACGCTTAGGAATATACTTCTCTGCCACTGAAAGTGGCCTTGTAGCTTAATTCACTTGTGAACTACCTCTGAATCAGAAAAATAGCATTCAGATGTTCTTGGTAGTATTGAACCTGCAAAGAATTTTTCCGTTCCGCATTAACGGGCCCAGAATCTCCTCACTATTGTGTCTTAAGCAGGTTACAGTTGTTTTAAAAAAAAAGTATTCATTGGAGAGCTTGGCCAATTTAAAGCAAGATGGGCTTCCTTCCCAGTCGTGCTTCTGAACTGGCAAGTACTGGATGCTGTAACCACACATGAAGCTTGAGAGGGGTGTTAAAGTTTACATCTAAAATGAGTAGAGGAATATAAGCGTGTGTCTCACATCAATCACTGCTGCGCTCTGCAGCGCTGCTTCTTGCAGCTGGGGAGGTGGGAAGACAAGAGAGATGCCCAAGTGAAGACACCAGATGTCGATTTACCTAGGAGAGAGTCAAGGACGATGAGAAAGAGGATTAAGGGGTTCCCATCTGTTATTTTTTTTTTTTTTTGGCAGTTCTGCTGGCACTGTCCTTGGCATTGTGCTGGGACAACAAGTGCCCTGTTGTTCGTGATAAACTGTTCATGATAAACCTTCTCTTACCAGACGTACAGTACTGAGTTCTGAAGTTGCAGTAACATTTTAATAGAGATACACTGTCAAAGTCTTAATGGTATTTGCATTTTTCTCTAGCACAAATGTAATTTGTGACCTTTGAAGTTCTCTTGGCCTCCCAGAGTCTCTTTATTCTGCATTATTTCTGCACCGTAATACAGATCTAACCTTTCTACCCTGTGGGTCATTCTTTGTAATAATACATTTGTGCAGTAATACCAAGATGTTCCTTCAAACTTTGGCAATGACAAGAAATCCTGTCTTAGTTTCCATCACGGAGAGTTGGAGGGCACCAGGATCCTTTCCAAATGACAAAACAAGATAGAGGGCACTGTCAGGGAGAGAAGTAAATTGTAGCAGTAGCAGTACACTCTTTTTCCTCATTTTTTTTCCTCTTCTTTGTGTGTTACTGCAATGCCTGGGGAATCGTAGGGAAGTAAATGCCTCCTTTATATAAAAGCAGAAATAATTTGGGACGTGGAAGTTCTTGTTGCAGAAGTTGCTTTATCTCCTGTGGTAACTAGCTTTGCAAGTGGGCTGAGCTGCTAACAGCCACCAAACTGTATTTTTGTAACAACAGGGATTTTAGTAAGCTCATATGATACCCTTTTTTTTTTTTTTTTTTTTTTTTTAGAGGGAGAAACCTTAAAAACAACCAAAAAGCCAACACCAAAATGCAGAAGTGTCACTCTGGTGACACTATGATCACACATAAGCACACAGCACTTGAGATCGAAACTCAGTTTTAAAAAAAAGGATTGCTATTCTTCACTGGATTCCAAGTCTGCTGTGCCAGAAAGCTTCTTGGGATGACTGTTACATGGAAAAATGACAAACATAAAGAATCTGTTCCACAGTCAAATGCTTCTTTGAAGAGAAATATAATAATTTGATGCATTGTCTCTCTTAATCAGTGCTACATTAAATGGAGTAACAATGCACTGAACACAGACATAGAATGTGGTGGGTTGCCTTAAGTTTAGAGAAATTTCTAGCTGGGGATTATTCCAGTTCCCTTAAACCTGTTTTGGAGTGGTTCTTATTGGCAGAACAAATTATAATCTGTCATTATGATCAAAAAAGATTAGTGCCATTTGAGAAGGAAAAAAAAATAATAAAACCAAGCCACCCAACCCCCTATCAGATGAATTTTTCATCATTTTTATTGTGTACAAATTGCAGTGAGTGTCTCCTGCTATTGACATGTCTCTGCAAGACTGATACATCTTACTCAGACCTTTGGCATTACATCTTAAACTATAATAACCTCTATACATCTGGCAAAATACACAGTTTTAATTATTTCTAGTGGTGTTTTTATACACTTCCTAGAGGAGGCACCAGAGTTTCTCTAGTAGTTAAAGTTTAAAACCTTGGTAATATGCCTAGTCTACTGAACTTACTTTCTAATGCTTCAATTACATTTCCAAAAGTTAATTCATTAGAGTTTTTAAATAAGACTAGGTAGTTTAAATCAATAAAATGTTTTCTAAAGTCAAACAGTCTCTATCTCAGATCTTACTCAAAGGTGATCTGAGAGTAAAATAAAATTTGACTGGTTAAAAATAATGCAAATAGGGCAGTGGACCATAAAATCCCAGAGAGTTAAGTGACAGCATTTGTAGAAAAGTCATGGGATGAGAAGCGATCCCAGCTACAGGGCATATTACTGAACTGAAGTACTCTAGTCCGAGGTGGTTGAAGTTATGAATAATTTATGGGATTGTAAAGTCAAGTCTACAGCTCCTCTAATAACTTAATATTTTTTCTGCAATTAAAATTGTGGCTAGAAGGCTTAAGGGGATGGATAATTACTAGCAATTAACAGTCTGATCATGTGAGATGCTGAGGTCTCCCCACTCCTGAAGAAATGACTGAGAACTGTGGTTGCTCACCATTTTGCAGGTTTAAATCCTTTGACGCTGAAGATGAATTGATGATCCAGATATGCTAGATGAAATGGCTGCTGTGGTGCCATATGCAGAAGCAGTATATTTAATCGAGGTATTGTCTTAGTGAACAAATCATACTTCCTTTCATAAACAGAAGGAAAACACTTATTTTACTTGGAAAAACAATCTTTGCATGTAGTACTCCATTGACAAGTGCATTGAATCCAAATACTCAGAGGCATTTACTTACATATAGGTAATTGTATCTATGATTGGTCACTTCAGTAATATACCTTATTTTGAGAGATTTCACATCTAATGCCTGTTTAGTCAACAGAAATTAATGGCAGGTTATCAGCGATTCCAAAAAGT